TTAAAGCCTACGTCCACGGGAGAGTAACCGGTTATCACTATAACAGTGGAGCGATTACAGAAAGATTACAATAGAGGAGCAGCTTACACTCTCCTCACTTAGCCACTCTCCCATCTCCCTCGCTCACACGGAGAGAGACTTTCTCTCGGCCTCACATCTCTCACTCTTTGTTGTTCTTGGTTCTCACATTTTCAGCTCTCCTCTCAACCTCCATTTATACACATTGGAGGAGAGGTGTGATTGCTCACCACCTACCCCTATGATGGCTTCTCCTCAAGTGTCAACAATGGTGGCTTGTCCACATTTCTTGCCAACCAATTGTCAACCATGGTAGCTGCTATTCTTGACTTGGTTTGTTGCCTTCCCATGGGTGAATTCAACACTAGTCGATTTGAGAAGAAATGTATTAAAAAAATTCCGATTAGGTAATAACTAAAACTAAATCAAAACTCGGCCAAAGGTCAAAATTTGAGTGGCAAAAACATAAAAGTAAAAACCATAAAAAAGAACATATGAAAGCCTCAAGCTACCAAGCCCATTAATCCTTTTAAAATAACAAGGCGAAACTTGAACTAGTGAGTTGAAATGAGGATGAATCATTGTGTAACACAACACTCCTTTTCACTAAGCGATAATATTAAAATAAAACCTAACTTAGTAAGTTGAAAATTGAAATCATGCATGCCCCAACCTCACAATAACCTCCGGGGGGTTGTATATTGGTACAACTTCTTCAGACTCAGGTTCAGGCTCAAGTTCAGGATCAGGTTCAAGGTCAAGCTCAGGCTTAGATTCATAGTCTTCTATTGGCATCTCCACTTCTTCACTTGGGTCAGATTCTATGTCATAGTTTTCCACCGAATTTTCCTCGTTAGAGTTAATGTCTGATGACCCTGGCATCCTACAAATAAAAAGGTTCTAACTTAGTCAAGTCACCGAAAATTACAAATTAACGTAAGGTTTTCTTAAATGTAAAAATAATAAACTACTACCCATGGCCCAAAGGTTCAAACCTAGGCTCTGATACCAAACTGTGATGCCCCAAATTTTTTTTTGAAACGTCATAAGATTTAAATAACAATAACTTGCTAGATAAAATTTTAACTACTAATTAGGAAATTTTAAATTCTTACATAGTCAAAGTCCAACAACAAAATAAAACTACAAGTTCACACACAACATCACAACATAGTTAAACACTAATATAAGAAATAACAGGATTTTGTTTTGATAAAATCTTGACTCTAAGTTAGCCAAGGTTCGATATTAGCAGCAGCTCCAATTTCAGCCTCAGTCCCCTCTTTCGACATAATCTGGCATGAAACGCCAGGGCAACAAAATATATGCCATGAGTTTTGCAACACAGTAAGAAAACATAACCAACCTACCATTCTTTCTGAGAGAAAATAATGAGATTATAAACACGAGATAATAATATAATCGTAAACATAAATTACAACCGTTAAAATACCTCAAATAATTTTAATAACTTAGGTGATCTTTGAAATCTCGCCAAAGAGGTTTAACTTACCAACCACTAAGTCATGGCCACGGTTAATTTGGAAACCCCCCTTGGTCAAATATTCAAGAACTACCAAAGATGCCCACGCCCGAAGTTATATACCCAAGTTGTGACATCCGTGGTCTGCCCCAAGGGAACGATCTACCAGGGGTACGTAACTTCCCTGCGTGCCACCTGCACATCCACCTTTATTCCAAAACTAAATACCGATAAGGGTTCAAATAATCCCTGTACCAACTTAGGGCTTCGCGACACAATTTACTTAAAAGTTATTAAAAACCAGGGCTCACCCTGAATACCCGGTATTAAAATTTATAAAAAAATTATTTACACAATTCTAAAATTCGTGCAATTGAACAGAATACTCAATAGGGATGTTTAGGTCACTTTTCAGAAAGAATTTCAGAAAAATAAGGTGTAAATAATCCTGTAAAATTCCCAGCAATTTTTTTTTTTGACACAAATTCGTCACATTTCCTTACATTAATTCCATACTTAAATTTATAGATCAAATCCATAATCTAAAAATTTATTATGAAACTAGACTTCTCAAATTTCATCTTTTAGTTAGAAATTACCAGATTTGGCTTAGTATAGAATTTTAAATAAATTTTCAAATACATAGTAAAATCTGTCTCACAGTTTCAGATTTAGTTAAAATTTTGTATAAATTCGTAGAAAGTTCAAAAATTGTTTCCAAAATTCCTGGATGAACTAAACATCATTATCAACAACTTTGTAGAAGAAATAATCTCGAAATTTTGAGTATAAAATTGTCTAAAAATTTGGGCAAACATGCTGGCAGATTCAAAACAGATTATTCTCAACACAGTTTCAGATTTAGTAAAAATATTTTTATAAATTCATAGAAAGCTCAAAAATTGTTGCCAAATTTCCTGGATAAACTAGATATCATTATCAACAACTTTGTAGAATAAATCATCTCGAAATTTTGAGTATAAAATTGTCTAAAAATTCGGGAAAACATGTTGACAGATTCAAAACAGATTATTCTCAACCCAGTTTCAGATTTAGTAAAAATATTTGTATAAATTCGTAGAAAGCTCAAAAATTGCTGCCAAAATTTGTGGATGAACTAGACATCATTATCAACAACTTTGTAGCAGAAATCATCTCAAAATTTTGAGTATAAAATTGTCTAAAAATTCGGACAACATTCTGGCAGATTCAAAACAGATTAATTATTTTCAATCTTCTCTTTAAATGCATAAACTACACATGCAAGCTTATTTCTTTACAATAATAAGATGATTTTAAGACTATCAACATCTTCAAACACTTGATATACACATCACAAAATTCCTACGCATATATATATAATTTCTATTTATGAGTAGTCATTTTGATCACAAGGACATAATCTGAAAACTTCACTAATAAAAAGAATTGAGAGGGTTGAGAGGGTTTTCTTACTGAATAGTAGGATTCAAATAAGTGATGAAGTGGTAGAAAAATTTTGCTTCCTTAACCTTCCCCTCTTCTTTTCCTTTTACTGAATCTCTCCTCACCCGTATATACTCATTCTTTTGTTTGTATGTGTCCATGAACTAAGTGTACCTATGATATATATAGGCAGATCTCTCTCTCTCTCTCTCTCTCTCCATGATGTTGTTCCCTGCCATAAACTTCACTCTACCCAAAAGCCATTATTTGGTGGAATTCACCAAGCCAACATGCAAGTTAGCATGTGGCATACCCTTGCCACCGAATCTGATTCTCCTGTATATTCTTTTTTTTGATAATAATTTATAACAATAATTATTGAACATCAATACCTTATTATTCTTAATAAGGTCTTTGTTAGTGATAGAATTGGGTTAATTTAAAACTAATTTTTTTTTTCACTATTCTATATTTTAGGTAGGTTCTGAATAACATTAATTAATTAATTAATCTATTTATTTTCTTTTAAGAATAATTTAAATATGGGTTTTTACAATGTTATAATCATTAACAATCATTTTGGTAAATTATTTATTTTCAATTACTAGGCCCACAATGCAGTTACGTAACTTTATACAATTTTTTTGAATATATATTTATTTGTATTATATTAGTCAAATTATATTTATTTGTATTGTATTAGTCAAATTTTACTTTGTACAATTACGATTTCATGTGCGTTTTTTCAAAACTAAACCTCTCTCTTTCTCTATCTCTCTCTCTCTCTCTCTCTCTCATAGCAACCATTGCAGCTGAACCAATCCCTACAAAGAAAGGGAGGTCCAGAAAGGCATTGAAGCAAACAAACCCATCATCAAATGAGGCCAACATTTTGGCCTCAATGAGCTCCCAACCCTTTCCGACTCCGATTATGCCGCCATTGTAAGACTCTGCTAGGAAAGAAAACCATGAGAGCCTCTTACAGCCTCAATCCACCAAGAAAACTAAGAAAGCAGGGACAAAAGCGAAATAACAACAACAACAAAATCAATCTTTTGAGAAAGAGTTGCAAGAAATGCAAGAAAAGCTTCAACAGTTGAGGATTGAGAAGGAGCAAACTGAAGAGCTATTGAAGGCACGAGAGGAGACTTTGAAGATGAAGGAGGAGAAGCTTGAAACAATGGGGAAAGAGCAAGAAAAGCTTCAGACGGAGTTCAAGAAGTTGCAGAAAATAAAAGAGTTCAAACCCACCATGGTTCGTTTTTCTTGATTTCCTTTTTTTTGTCCCTCACTTCAATACAATGTTTGGTTGCTGAGAAAATGTAGGGGAAATGAAGGAACTTTAGAAATGGGAATTTTCCTACTTTTTCTCAGAAATTGAACAGAGTTGATGATTCTTGATTTCTATTTCCCTAATTTTTTAAACGTTGTTTGGTTGTTGAAGAAATGTTGAAAAGTTTACAGAGTTTAAAAAGGGAAATTGAAAAGAACCCAGATTGATGGTTCAGAGGTGATGATTCTTGGTTTAGTTTTCCCTCTAAATTTTCCTATATTTTCTCAAAAACAGAACAGAGTTTATGATTCTTGATTTCTGGTTCTACTATTTGATGGGTTTTATTTTTTTTTTCTCTAGACATTCCTTATTGTTCAATCTCTGAGAGAGAAAGAGCTAAAAAAGAAAGACAAGAAGAAGAAAGGCTGCCCTCAAATGAAAAGACCATCTCCACCTTATGTCCTATGGTGCAAAGATCAATAGAATGAGGTAATAATATACATAAAAGATGTAAAGATCAAAAATCTGAAAGAGGAGTTAGCAAGAAAGGCCATGGATGGACAGAGAATGATGGAAGAGAGACAAAGTCTAACAATGCAGGTGAAGCATCTAAAAGAGTAGATGGAAAATAAAAACCAAGACATTGATCACTTGAGACAAGAAAAAGAGGGTCTGCAGGAGAGAATTTCCAAGTTGGAGAAGACATTAGTTGAGCAAGAGGAGGAGTCATTTACTCTCCAAAAGCAAGTTGAGGATGTCGGGAATAAAGCGTCTGCTCAAATTATGGCCTTAACGACGCAGGTTAACAATCTGCAACAGGAATTGGATTTCACTCACTCCGTGAAAAGCCAATTGGTGTTGCAGATTGAGAGAGGTAAACAAGAATCTTCAGAAAGCTTAACTCAAGTGAAGAATAAGAATTTCGAGCTAGCAAACAAGGTTGCGGATCAGCAAAGAATGCTAAAAAAATAGGAGAATGCTTTCAATGAATTGAGAGAAGAGCACAAATGACTCAAAGTTTTGTTTCAAGAATGCAAGGCAAACCTTGAAGTCGCTGAAAGGAAGATTGAAGAAATGGAAGAAGAGTTGCAAAAAAGTATTGAATCGAAACATAAGAAAGTTGATGAATTGGAAGAAACAATCGAAGACTTGAAAACATATCTGGAAATAAAAGAAGATGAAGTGGGCTTGCTGATTGAGAATCTCAGCACGATTGAGGAAGACTACGGGCACTTTGAGAGCCGTGTTTATGAAATCCTGAACGAGTTTCAAGTTGCAAAGAACATAGTCAATGAGACAAATACCAAGAAACAACAACTAAAGAATGAGCTCAGTGTCCTGATCGAGCAACTGGGAGATAAGAAATAAAAGGAGTTGGTCTTGAGAGAAAGGGTTAGAGAATTGGAAGCAAAGTTGCACAACACTGAGAATGAGAAGCAGTAGAATTTGATCAAAAAATTAGTAAAATGCTTGAAGAGAAGATAGGGGAATTGAAGAAGACGATTAGTGAAAAGGAAGAGGTGATATTGGGGCTCGGGGAAGAGATGAGGGAGGTGATAAGACAACTGTTTATAGTGATCAATTATCACCGGAGTCGATGCAAATATCTCAAGAAAATGCTCTCAAAGGTATTATTTGGTAGAAGGCCAATAGCAACTTGAGTGTTCTAAATTTTTATTCTTTTATTTTTGTATTTATGTCTATTATTATGGTTTTTGTAGTTGATTGTGACATTTGATTGGTTTATTTTGTTGGTGGAACTTTTACCAGTTTAGATTTTGTATAGGGAATTAGTGTTGTTTTTGTGTATTTTTTTTTTGTTGTCAGTTTTGTCTAAAAGTTTAGATTGCATTCATCGTCATTCTTAAAACTCTTTTAGACATAACTGACAACAAAAAAAAGTACACAAAAACAGCACTAATTCCCTATACAAAATCTAAACTGGTAAAAGTTCCACCAACAAAATAAACCAATCAAATGTCACAATCAACTACAAAAACCATAATAATAGACATAAATGCAAAAATAAAAGAATTAAAATTTAGAACACTCAAGTTGCTATTGGCCTTTTACCAAATAATACCTTTGATCTTTGCATCGACTCCGGTGATAATCGATCCATATACACAGTTGTCTTATCGCCTCCCTCTTCTCTTCCCCGAGCCCCAATATCCCCTCCTCCTTTTCACTCATCGTCTTCTCCAATTCCCCCATCTTCTCTTCAAGCATTTTACTAATTTTTTGATCGAATTCTACTACTTCTCATCCTCAGTATTGTGCAACTTTGCTTCCAATTCTCTAACCCTTTCTCTTAAGACCAATTCCTTTTCTATCTTATCTCGCAGTTGCTCGATCAAGACACTGAGCTCATCCTTTAGTTGTTGTTTCTCGGTATTTGTCTCATTGACCTTGTTCTTTGCAACTTGAAACTCGTTCAGGATTTCATAAACACGGCTCTCAAAGTGCCCGTAGTCTTCCTCAATCATGCTGAGATTCTCAATCAGCAAGCTCACTTCATCTCCTTTCATTTCCAGATCTCTTTTCAAGTCTTCGATTGTTTCTTCGAATTCATCAACTTTCCTGTCTTTCGATTCAATACTCGTTTGCAACTCTTCTTCCATTTCTTCAATCTTCCTTTCAGCAACTTCAAGGTTTGCCTTGCATTCTTGAAACAAAACTTCGAGTCGTTTGTGCTCTTCTCTCAATTCATTGAAAGCATCCTCCTGTTCTTTTAGCATTCTTTGCTGATCCGCAACCTTGTTTGCTAGCTTGGAATTCTTATTCTCCACTTGAGTCAAGCTTTCTGAAGATTCTTGTTTACCTCTTTTAATCTGCAACACCAATTGGCTTTTCACGGAGTGAGTGGAATCCAACTTCTGTTGCAGATTGTTAACCTGCGTCGTTAAGGCCATAATTTGAGCGGACGCTTCATTCACGACATCCTCAACTTGCTTCTGGAGAGTAAATGACTCCTCCTCTTGCTCAACTAATGTCTTCTCTAACTTGGAAATTCTCTCTTGCAGACCCTCTTCTTCTTGTCTCAAGTGATCAATGTCTTGGTTTTTATTTTCCATCTACTCTTCTAGATGCTTCACCTGCATTGTTAGACTTTGTCTCTCTTCTATCATTCTCTGTCCATCCATGGCCTTTCTTGCTAACTCCTCTTTCAGATTTTTGATCTTTACATCTTTTATGTATATTATTACCTCATTCCATTGATCTTTGCACCATAGGATATAAGGTGGAGATGGTCTTTTCATTTGAGGGCAACCTTTCTTCTTCTTGTCTTTCTTTTTTAGCTCTTTCTCTCTCAGAGATTGAGCAATAAGAAATGTCTAGAGAAAAATAAATAAAACCCATTGTAGACGTCCCGAACACCCCGGGAAGATGAGTCTCGTTCTGTTCATTTGTGGGTCTACTACAGTTCGGACTCTCAAATTGTCACGGTTCTTAATATGAACCAAAGAGTCCAAATCCGGCAAATTGTTTTAAGAAAAACAAATTTTTTTAGAAAAGAAGTGCCAAACATGGACTGCTTTGCCAGATACAGAGTCGCCATCTAAATATTTTATTTTTGAGAAATTTAGGAAACCCTGACTCGGTACCAAAGGCCACGTGTCCGTCATCACCAAAGTTGCCTCGGCTCGGGAACTTGGGTACGATTGGGGAAGGTCAGCTATGAGCACCACCTCTCGCCCGATCAAAGATCGGCCTCTACTAACCGTGATATCTTGTTTTGAAAGCACTATGTGTTCCTATTCCGGTTGTTAGCCTAGAATTACTATGTTATGCGCACAGCAAAACAAGTATAGACTAAATTACCTAAGTCGGAACAAAGCATTGCATTTCCGTTTGTTTGGAAAATGGTTTGAATTTTGCTACTCGCGAGTAGGCTAAAATACGGATTTCAATGAATTATCCCAATTCAAACAATCCAACCTTCACCCACAGGCACTCAAGCAATTATATCAAATAAGCAACTAGCCTCATGGTAAGCATTCTGTCATGTTAACATTCACACTCATGCGAGATGCTAAAGCATAAATGCTCACCTAGTACTCCGTGCCAAAACAATAAACTAGTTAGCAATCAATGTATGATCCAAGTCTATGTTAAGTGCCTAATGCAACGCATACAGAATGCAATTAGGATAGGCTCGGCTAATCCTAGGATGGCATGTGAAATGCAACCATTTGATGCACGTATTAAGTTAGATTTGAAATACTTATGCAGTTAGCATGATGCGCCGAGCCCGGTGCATGCAATACTGATGAATGATGCACGCATGCATAGCATAAGGTATGCTAAATTAAGTATGCCCCAATACTAACCATCAAAGCACGTAAGTAAAAGGGAGAAAGAAGTGGGGGTTGGAAAACCCCCACACTTATTACAAATTCGCCCTCGCTCGAAGGAACCAAAAGAATAATACAGATTTAACTAACCTACAAGCTAATTAAATATTACAGACAATTGACTAGTTAAGCAAATTAACTAATCTAATAAAACAGTAAACAGCCTCGGGAAGAGGGCCCAATGCAATGCATACTCGGTTCCGTTCGGAAGTCCACTGCCATGCACAAGTTGCCTCTGTTTTTACTGTTTGGCACCTATGAAAATTGCACAAACTCCAAGGTTGCTTCTCTAGGTGCTGTGGAACACCACTGGCCATGAGGAATGGTCACCAGCCATGGGGAATGGTCATCGACCACCTGTGGAGAGATCGGCCACAAATTGTTGGTCGGTCGGCACTGTATGTAGTCGGCCGGCCAAAACTCTCTACACAACCTGTTTTGACAGCAGCAGAGGGCAAAACAAGGCATGGCAATGCATTCCAAGCAAATGTGTGCACCAACACATCCCTTATCATGTTTGTGACTCAAAGGGACATGGTTCTCGATTCTCGGACCACCAATCGCGCATTTCAATGCGTGATGGCCCAAGAAACCAAGTATGCACTTTGATTTCAAATAGGATGCACATCAAACAAACAAGTGAGGCTCAACCTCTATCATACTCAATTCAAGAGGCAAAGCATGCATGCCAATGCAATGCAACCTAGGCATGCGAACTAAGTATGCAACATGACAATGCAAACAAGCATATAAGACATGCGACAATCATGCTAATGACAAGTATGTGAGATGCAATGTGGATGGTCAAGCATGCAAGCAAGCATGTGACTTCATTCAATCATGCAACAACACATGGGGTAAACATGTAGCAACATGTTAAACAACCTAAACATGCAACAACACACATGGTAAGCATGCGCCAACACATAAAGGGTGGACTTAAACCAATTTGGGCAGCCCTCAACTAGGCCCAAAACAGTGGCCAATGCTAAGGAAATGAGGGCCAAATGCACATACAAGCATGCATGCAAACATGGTCCATCACTTAGGCATCAAAGAGCAACTTCTAAGCACACTTAAAAGAGGCTAAACTTGGGTATATGGCAAGCAATATAAGCTCTGAAAATCACATGAGGATGGTGCCAAACCAACCTAAACCAAGGAATCAAAGCATGCTAACAAGCCCAAAGCTTGAGGCCAACCGAAGGGCTCAAACCATAGCCATGCCAACCAAGCCTCAAAAGGCCAAGGGGACTCCAAACAACCCCAGAGCAGGTCTAAACAAGACCAAAGACACACCTAGATGGCGTCTAAATGGTTTGAACATGCAAGCATACAAAAGAGGCCAAACATGGAGCATAAGATGACAACCTTATAAAGAATTAAAGGGACATCAAATGCAAGCATACAAGCATGCCATGAGGACTAAAATGATGCTATAAGTGGTTCTAAGCCATTGAAATGATGCAAGAATAGCATGTTAGAGGGTCCGGTACTTAAGGCCTACAAGAGGGATTACATGGTAGCTATACAAAGTAAAGCATGGATGACCCAAATGACCAAAAACAGACTTCAAGCACATTAAAACAAGCATAAAAGCTTCACAAAGCTAGGCCAAAACACATGAGCATGGTAGTCTAAATGCTATGTACATGTTAAGGCAAATCATGGCATTACAAGACATGTATGCAAGGCATGCAAGGTGTGTCTAAACCAACATGAAAAGAGGTAATACATGGCAAAATACCACCAAATAATAGTTAATGCATGGTCAACATAAACCTAAACTAGGTGCTCACACATGAGGTAAAAATGGACCTTTTCAAGGACAACAAGGAGATGAGGTGGCCCTCTCCTTCTTAGGACCTTAAGGCACCATCCTCACCACTGAAATCCCTCAAGATTTCAGTGGTAAGGAGGCCCAAACAAAGTGGTCCTGGAGCTCACCAAAATAGCACAAAAATAGAGCCAAACAAGGCCTAAGAGGGGTCAAATAACCCCAAACAACAAAACACTCTTAAACAAATATTTAGAGCAAGCAAAAACAAGACTTTTATATGTTATAAGCTAAGCTCGAAAACAGGTGTAAGGTAGTCAAAAAAGCTATGCAAAAATGGGAAATAAAGGGAAAGAACACTCACTCTTGAAGAACACTTCCAAGATCACAAGATCAGACCTCTTCTTGGATCAAAACTAGCTTAAAAAGTTCAAGATCAACCCTCTAATGCCTCAGCAACTAAGGAAAGGTGTAATGGTAGGTGTTTGTGTGCAATAGTAAGAACAAACACACACTAATACACCAAAAGGAGGAAGAGATATAGAGATAGAGTATATGTAAACCCTAACCCTAAAACTCAGAGCTCTGGAGCTTTTTTTGTCAACCCTAATGGAGGGAGAAGAGGCTCCTTCTTATAGAGCTCACTCTTGCAAAGCTTCTCAAGTAAGCTAGTCAAGAGGGAGATCCCTCCATACACGTGTATGGAGGGGAGCAAAGTGTATGCCAACTAGCACAGCTGGCATAAAAATATCTGCAAAAGCAGATACATAGTGGTCGGCCAGCCAAAAATGCAATTTGACCAAAATAGATGGCCGGTCGACCATCTAGAGTGCCGGTCGGCCAAACATTTGGCCGATGGAAACAAAACACAGCCGGTGGCCACAAGCCATGGCCGGGGGAGTATGGGGATGGCCAACAAGCCATTCCCTGCCCCTCAAAGGCAAAACACAAGTGTTTGGTGCAAAACCAAGCACAAAACAGTCGAGTCGAGAGATCCTGAGGTAGGGCATGTGGCCGAGACCTCCGGGAACTCAAGCCAAACACGAACATGGATGATCACCGAGTGTTCAAGCGATGACGTCCAAGTCTTGAGAACGGTCAAAAATGGGGTGTCTACACCCATCAAATAGTAGAACCAGAAATCAAGAATCATAAACTCTGTTCTGTTTTTAAGAAAATATAGGAAAATTTAGAGGGAAAACTAAACCCAGAATCATCAACTCTGAACCATCAATCTGGATTCTTTTCAATTTCCCTTTTTAAAGTCTGTAAACTTTTCAACATTTAGAGGGAAATGTGCAACCACCTACTGAAGATACAGAGGATGATACTAATCCTAATGAACTTAAGCCAAAAATTGAGGAAGAGCATCCAACTCAAGAACCGCCACCATAACTTGAGTTGAGAAAATCTACAAGGGACAGACAACCTTCAAGAAAGTATCCTCCCAATGAATTTATGTTGATTTCCGATCAAGGGAAGCCTGAGAGCTACCAAGAAGCAATTGAGCATACAAAGAAAGATGGTTGGAAAAAGGCAATGGAAGAGGAGATGAATTCCTTACTTGAAAATCACACTTATGATTTAGTGAAGTTGCTTAAGGGGGGGAAATTCTGAAAAATAAGTGGGTTTTCAAATTGAAGAATGATAGTAAGAATCTGAGGTACAAAGCACATTTTGTTGTGAAAGGCTTTGGGCAAAAGAAAGGTATTGACTTTGATGAGATTTTCTCGCCGGTTATGAAGATGTCTTCTATTCGGGTTGTACTTGTCATGGCTGCAAGTATGAACCTTAAAGTTGAGCAACTTGATGTGAAGACCGCATTTCTTCACGGTGATCTTGAAGAAGAAATTTACATGGAGCAACCAGAAGGTTTTGTGGAAAAAGGGAAAAAGAAATTTGTTTGCAAATTGAAGAAAAGTTTGTATGGCCTCAAGCAAAC